AAATTTGAATTAGTATCAACTCTTTTTTTATTACTCCTCCTTCTCAATTTCCTTATTGTTTAATATATTTTCTCAACCAATCAGGTTCAAAACTATAATGGAAATTTCCTCAAAATGTGTTGCACCAGCACCAGGATATCTTGGGAGGCTCATTAAGAATGTGAATCCGCAAGCTCACCATGGATTTACTCACCAGAATATGCATGAGCCAGCCCAATAAGATCCCTCATAATTTATGAACATATTACCAATGTTATTACAAATAAGATCCATGGTAACTTATTAACATTAGAATTCTAAATTATTGCTTTTTTTTTAAGTCCTTCTCTCTCCCTGTCCTATGTTTACTAAATATTCACTAAACAGCAAAGTCCTATAACATGATTGATGTAGTTTGGCTGTGTCCACACCCAAATCTCATCTTGAATTGTAGCTTGCATAATCCCCATGTGTTGTGGCAGGGACCCGGTGGGAGGTAACTGAATCATGGGAGTGGGCCTTTCCCCTGCTTTCTCATGACAGTGAATAAGTCTCATGAGATCTGATGATTTTATAAAGGGCAGTTCCCCTGCATACACTGTCATGCCTGCCATCATGTAAGATGTGCCTTTGTTCCTTCTTCACCTTCTGCCATGATTGTAAGGCCTCCTCAGCCATGTGAAACTGTGAGTGTATGAAACCTCTTTTTCTTTATAAATTTCCCAGTCTTGGTTATGTCTTTATTAGCAGCCTAAGAGCAGACTAATACAATAAACTTTGTGATCTCTTTTCCTTCCATTCTTCCCTTCACTGTTCCTAATTCCAGATTCTTTCCTGCCTTGGGGCATTTGCTCTGGCTGGAACACCCTTCCCCTAGACGGCAACCAGGCCAACTCCCTTATCTTCTTCACGTCAACTTTCAATGAGGACTAGCCTAACCTACTTGAAATTGCAATCCATTCACCAACCTGATACATTTTGCTTTACCTTTATTTTCCCCATAGCATTTACCACAAAACAAATTCTATAATTAGCATATTTTGTAGGTGTGTTGTTTGTCTCCTTCCTCACTAGAAAGCAAGCACCTCCAGGGCAGCACTTTTCCTCTCGTTAACTTATGTATCCCAAGTGCCTGTAACAGTAGTTGAAGTTCAGCAGACATCTGTTGAATGAGTTAATGATTCAGTCAGAAATCTGATTTGTCCCCTCTCATTCTCACTGTTCCTCTCCAATACTAATTCTGACTTTTGTCATTTTAAGACTCTTTTGCAACAGTCTGTCTACAATACCTTTTCCTCCAAACCAGTCAACGCACTTCCAGACTTACTAAGTTACTACTTTAAGGATGTCCCTCCCTTGTAACAATGTGGCCCCCAACTGGCCCTGTTAGATATTATATATTGGAGTTATGCTTAAGTAAGAAATTAGCTTCAATGAACTCTAAGATCCTGTTCAACTATTTGGTCCTGTATCCAAATGACTCACCTTGGTATTTAAAATGATCTGTAATCTGGCAGTCGTCTACCTATCCAAACTTATATCCTATACTCCTTCCAAGTTTCCCTCTGCTCCTGGCCAATTTCCTTAAGAACTCTGAAATAAGCCAGGTCCACTTTCCCCATTTGTTCATGTCATGACTGTCTTCAACACTCTCCCACCTACAAAAACAAATGTCAGTATCCTTTAGGATCCTGCTGCACAGACTGATCTGCAGGCCTGCATCCTTCAGCATTACCTGTGAGCTTGTCAGAAATGTAGTAACTCTGGCCCGACTCCAGACCTCGTGAATCAGACTCTGCATTTAACAAGATCCCCAAGTGATTGCTATGAACCTTTGAGTTTGAGAAGCACTGTGTGAAGGCTCATCTCAAATCACACCTCAATGAAATGTTCACTGGGCAAGCCTCATGTCCAGGAATAAGTATGTACTAAATTCCTAATCTTCCACAGGTTCTGCATCCTCACAGCATGCAATGTTCAATTAACAACATCTCCTCTTAGACTATTTATTCCTTCTTTAAGTCCTTTCTCCCCAGTTTGGTTGTAAACAAGTTACAGGCATGACAGTCAAACATCTGGCCAATCTGGATGCAGGGAACAGAAACCCATTCAAGTCATTTCAAGAGGCGGGGAAAGAGCTTATTTTAATGCTTCTTGGGAACTAGGGCTATAGAATTCAGGGAGGGCAGGCTCCAAGGTCTGCCTATCTATTCCATTCTCTTTGCTCTCTCTCTACTCGCCCATATTTTCTGCTTTCTTCAATCAGCAGCATTCCCATGACTTTTACGGCCATCCATTGTCTCCCCGATCAGCCTATTCACCTCTGCTCCCTCCTGCTCTGACTCTACATCTCTATTTTTAATGCTTCCCAGAGAGATATGATTCGCACAGAGAATCTTTTTGAGCCAAACCACAAGGTTACAAATGTCTGAGTCACATATAAATTGGTTGCCTCATGGGTCAGGAGCCAACCATGGTCCAATCAGCTGAGGCCAAAAGGGCTGCAGTTCAGAACAAGGCCCTTTAGGCAGCAGGGCCTCTCCCAAAGGAGAGTATTCCTTAGGAAAGGTAGGACTGTATTTCTTAGGAAAGAAATATTTCATAGGAAAGAAAGCTGTGGGCAGAGCAGGCAATGAGCTACAATGCCAGCCCCACAGAGTCATTATTTGTCTTCACTGCAGTCCCAAGCACAATGCTAAGATATAATAAACTGGAATCAACCCATATCGGGGTAAAGGGTCATTCACCAGGCACTACTATGGCGCTGACACTGTGCTGGACGCACAAGGAATACAAAGATTAAACAAGCTGCAGTCATTGTTTTCCCAGAGCTCTTAATCCAAATGTGTCACTGAACTAGTTTCTTGACCTTGGGCAAATTACTAAACCATAATGGGCCACAGTTTCCTCAACTATCAGATGGTACTCCACCTTCACCAACCTCCAGGAGTGCTGTAAGGTTCTGTAAGGTAATCTTTGTAAAAGTACTTTCAAAAATACACAAGCCAATCAAGAACAATACTATAGCCATATAATCCCCTTATATGCTACAGGCTTTGCACCACTTTCAGATTTTTTTCTCTTGCCCTTATTTTGCTCAATATATGATCCGTCAATTGCCATTATTTCAAAGAACACAACCAACTATTACCATTATATTTTCATTACCTCTATGACTAATTTCACTCAGAAGTGTAAAAAAAGAATGTATTTTTACAGGGTGCATTTAAAAAATATTATAATCTATTCAACTGTGTATCAAACTGTAATGCCCTATGTATTTTTGTGTATTACAGATGACACTGTGTACTGAATTCCTATGCAGTACACAGGCCAGTTTTGACTCGTGTGTGGCCTTCTCTCCACAACAGTTTCATTTAATATTTTCTGAATACTGGAATCAGAAAATCTCAGGGACCCTATTTTTACAGGGATACCCTAAGGAGAAAAAAATAAAATGGACTGTCTCCACCCCTGAAATCCAATTCCCCTAACTTATATATCTTTTTGTCTAAAACCACTTTATCACCTCTTAACATTAAAAGATGGAGGTGGGGAGGGAGAGTGGGAATCAGCGATGCTGGCAAGATAGATTTCTGAAAAACATGTTATTTCACCCTCTGCAGGACTCAAGCATCGGTTTCTGGCAGAGGACAAACAAACCTCGGGATTTTTACGGTCCTGATTTTGACGTAAGCAACATCAAAGAATATTTACCGAGTGCCTGCCACATGGCAGGCAGGATGTTGAGGGCTCCTCGGATACGATGAGGAGTCTGGGCCTTCGGAAAGCTTACTTGCTTCTACCCCGGGGCATCTGTTGCTCAGTGTTGACAAGTGCGGCCATTCAAGAGCTGGCCCCAGGTGGAGCAAAGAAAACAGCTTTCACCTGGCTAAAAAGTCAGCTCAACTGGCAGAAGAGCGGGTTTCGGGCAAAAAGAAACAAAAACGAAACCGCAGGCGGGAGCCTGTGAGACTCCGCTGCAGGAGGCAGAATTGCAGAAGCTGTAATGCAGGGGACCCACTCGGAATCCGCCCCCGATGAAGGCTCCCCGCAATCCGAGAGGCAAGGGACTACCGATCAAAGGATCCTGCAACCTGGGAAAAGCAAACTCGCTTCGCTGGGAGCTCTGAGAGGGGGTGGCAAAAAGGTGGGCGCCGGAGCCAGGGGCGGCGGGATGGGGATCTGCTCACCGAGGGGTAGAGGAGCTGATTGGAAATCGAGCTGGTGGGGAGGGAGGTGGGCAGGGCGGGTGCGCTCAGTGACTGGGACCCAATGGTCACGCTGCGGTGCAAAGCACGCCTCGGGGTTCCCGCCGAGGGCATCCATTCGAGGGTACTGGAGCCTGAAAAGGGTCTGCCAGTGCAGTGGGGGTAACGCAAGGGGAAGGGTCCACTAGGGGCCGGGCGCGACAGTCGGACTGCGGGTGGGAAACGGGTGGGATGCGGTCTCTTCCTGGATAAGCACACACGCTCACACGCACACTCGCAGCCCGACCCCAGGATAGCCCCGAGCCGCGGCGGCCCCTCACCCTCGGCGCGGGAGCGGATCTCCGACACGGTCCTCCGCATAGTGGGCATCGCGGCGGCGGCCGCAGGTGGGTCCTCAGCCCGGACTCTGCACCTGTCACGGCGTGGTACCGGCGGGAGACCCGGCTGCGCAGCGCGGAGCGCTCAGCTGCCGCCTGGGCCGTGCCGCCCACCTAGGGCAGAGCCGCCGCCGGGCCTGGCCCCCGCACGCCGGCAGGAGGAGGAGAAAGGCGGCGGTGGCGGCGAAGGTGGCGGCGTCTGCTGAGCTGGGCGAGCTCTGCCTGCAGCCACCGAAGGGACTGCTTGGAGAGGGGCGGAGCTCGGGCGCGGGCGCCGGGGGTGGGGCCTGCGAGGCGCGCGTTCCCAGCTCCCGCGGCCGCTCAGCGAGGAAGGCGGGCGAAGGGCGGGGAGAGCCCGGGGGAGCCTCCTCCGCCCCGCCCGCTTCGGACCGTACCACCACTCAAAGGGTGATCAGCTCTCAGCCTCCTGAATCCTCCGGCGTTTTCGCTCGGTCCCGTGGAGTTAGTTGACCTGGTCTCTCCTCCAGTCCACCTCAACTCTCCTAAGTCTTTCTTAGAGAGGAAAGAATGTTCCGGCTGCTGCATCCTCACAAATCCCCTCCCGCTACCCCTGGCTTTTGATGGTAGTGGAGCCGCCCGTCGTCCGGAAAGTGGTGTAGGGTCTGAGTCGGCCAGCTAAGGCGAATGGATCTGGGACTGCAGATTTGTCCCCAAGCCAGAGCAGGGGAAAGGAACGACTGTTTGCATCTGGGTGTAATTCTAGCCTCTTTGCACACCCAGCCCGACTGGTGGCCTGAGCCGCACTTGTCCCCCTGCCTTGACCACTAGCAACAGGCTGCGAGGCCGGGAGGCCCCAGGTACCTATGGTGTGGTCCTCCTGTCCATGGGGCTTGAGTGCGTCTGGGGCCCGCCTGCGAGTGGGCCCGGCGCATCTCCCTAGTCCAGGCTCTGCAGCCTGACAAGGCACTGAAATTGCAATTAAGTATTGGCCCAGGGGGTCCAGAAAGGACTTTTGTGAGTGTGTGTGTATTTTTAGTTAAAACTGCATAAAGCTAGGTACAGTCGTTTTATTTGCAAAGAGGAGAGGAGGCTTTGTATAAAATCCATAAATACGTTAAATTTTAATTTGCCGATATGCTCCAGACTTTCATAACCTCATTACCTTTTATTTTGTCTACCGTGATCTATGCTAACAAGTTGTCAGAACAAGTACTTCACCTTCAAGTTAAGATGTAAGGTTTTGTGCTGTTTGTGGTGAGCTGCTGAACTGGCAGGAAAGGCATAACCAGAAACGATAAGAAGCAATTTGCTTCCTACCTCACTTCATGCTCTTCCTCCAGCACCCAGCAAAAGATATCCTCACATAGAGGCCTTTTATTTGAAGTCTTTTCACATCCTTAAGGGAGAGAGCTGGAGAGATTTGACCTGAGAGAGAAATGATTATTTCCAAGCCTCAGGAAAAAATGTAATAAAATCTGCTAATAGCGTCCTATCTCCATTTGTGATATTTCTTCTGCTTCCTGCAGGTAGCAGCGACTAATCAGAGCTCTGCCCTACATTAATACTCAGGCAATCAATGCATATGTATGAAGAGCCCACTCTAGTTGGCTCTGATTCAGAGGCTGGAATTAGAACAAAGGAAATATATTCCCAGTGTTCATGGAATATTTCAGGGTAAAGCAGGACTCAACAATAAATGAATATATCTGTTTCTGTGATGGCCATGATTTAGAAGTATGGTCTTCTAAAAGTAAAAAATGAACACAGAACTTTTTCAGGACTGTCATCACTGGCCATTTTTCTTTCTTCCAAGGTTGAGGGTTGCCTTGTATAAAGTAGGCTTCCTCTGGCTTAATGAACATGAGTCTGAAACAAAATTAAAGGGCTAATATAGCAAGGAAAATAGTAAAAATAATAATTAGCTTTAAAAGTTAGTGAACGGAAGCTGGAGGAAATGCAGTGCTTTTCTGATTAACGTTTTAAGTGTAGTTTTATGTAAAGCCATAAACAGTTTTTATTTAAAACCAGTGTGCAGCTGCATGACAATAGTTGGTTTCTGAGCAGTCACCTTTGTAATTCCTAATGAGTCCTCAGTTGGGGTTGAGGTTCAATTCTGTTTATTTACAAATAGTAACTAACTGAAGGGAGTTCCAGAAGTTACCTGTTTTCTACAGAGCAATCCGTTTGTGTGTCCCATTAACTCATCAGCGAAGTTGAAAACGTATGTCATTCACACAGGAAATGACAAGTCATTTATACAGAGAAGAATATTGCATAATATCTATAATAGATTACCATGTGTCCTTTCCCAGATATTATCACTTTATCCATAATGACAAGGATATCCCAAGTACCTTATTTCTGAAAAACCACTCATTCCTGACTGCTAGAAATCACACATGTTTTTATTGGTTCAGAAACTTGATCAAAGTTGAGGATTGCACTATTCTGCATCTGCTTGATTTCAAGGCTCTCAGATCTCATCTTCCATTGTACCAGCAGTGCAATGTGCCAGCACCTCGCAGGGAACTCTGGTTCCAACCACATGACCTTGTGACAGAATCTGTAGTAGAATTCAGATGTCAGCGGATCATTTAAAAACTTTCAGGTCATATGACTACACTGCTGATGGACTTAGAAGGAAGAGGGTTATTTAAGGACAACTTCTCCAAGAATCAAGTTTTATCATCTTCCGCAAAATATACATTGACTACATAACATGTATAAGGTGCTGAGCCAGAGAACTAGGTTATAGAGGGACTTAATGAAAGCTAACCAGTAGTAGCAACAAGATAGCTAATACGTCGTGCCAAACAGACAAGCAGCAACTATTGACACTGAGAGAAAGCTAAGTTTCTAAGAGCTGGAGTGATCAACATTGTTGAGCTAGATCTTAAAGTAAGGGTTAAGTCTATAGAAAGAAAAAGGAGACCTCTTTCTGGATGGGAATGCTTGGCATATAGTAAGTTCTTAGCAGTGATTGTTTAAGGTCATTGGAGTGGTAGAGGAACATATATATTTGGCAGGAACAAAGAGATTGACTTGACTACAATAAAGGTTTTCATTGGGACTCCATGCAAGGAGACTAAAGGTGCCAGATTTGGAAGAATCTGAAATGTCATCTTAGGATACTTTGTTTCCTAATGAGCCTGCTAAATGAATGGTTAGGAGTCCCAATATGCCCACTTTAAGCATTTTTATGACATATTCCCTTGAATTTTGCCACAAATTTTCCTCAACTTTACTAAATAAATTATGTTCTAATACAATGAAGATTGCATGGCAGATGTTCATTACATTCCCAGTAATTGTGCCATGTAGTACTGACTGGGAAAACTTGTCCTTGGCTTTCTCTTTAAATCAGGATGGCTGTTTTATTAAGTAATTAGAGAAAATAGAAGTATGTGTAAACACATCTACTCTGTTCTACTATCATAGCAGTGTGGGGATATCAATTATTGACCTGAAGACTCAGTTTTAAAATTTAATCAAATCAGAGGTGACTGTCAGTTACCCAGAGGCAGGTAAATGATAGTTGAAATTACAAAGGAAGAAATACAATAAAAGAACTAAGAGGATGTTGCTACTAGAACTAAACAGATCGGAAATAAAGTTTTCATGCCAAGAAAATTAAATAGGAGAAAGAATAGTCTTTTCAACAAAGGATGTTGGGACAACTGGATATCCACATGCCAAAGAAAAAGTTGGATCCCTGCCTCGTACCATACACAAAAACTAACTCAAAATGAGTCAAACACTCCAAAAGTAAAAGTTAAATTAACTATAAAACTCTTAGGAGAAAAATAGTAAATCTTTATGAACTTAGGTAATAGTTTCTTACATATAGCATCAAAAGAACAAACAACAAAAGAAAAAAGTAGATAAATTGCACATCATCAAAATTAAAAACTTTTGGCCAGGGGTGGTGGCTCATGCCTGTAATCCCAGTGCTTTGGGAAGCCAAGGTGGGCAGATCACTTGAGGTCAGGAGTTTGAGACTAGCCTGGCATACGTGGTGAAACCCCATCTCTACTAAAAATACAAAAATTAGCCAGGCATGGTGGTACACACCTGTAGTCCCAACTACTTGGGAGGCTGAGGTAGGAGAATCACTTGAACCCAGGAAACAGAGGTTGCAGTGAGCCAAAATCACGCCACTGCACTCAGTCTGGGTGACAGAGCGAGACTCCATCTTCAAAAAAAAATAAAAAATAAAAAACTTTTGTGCTTCCAAATACAAAGTTAAGACATTGTGAAATAACCCACAGAATGGGAGAAAACTTTTGTAAACCATATAGCTGACTAGCGACTTATACCTAGATTATGTAAAAACAACTATTATGAGGCTGAGTACCATGGCTCTTGCCTGTAATCCCAGCAATTTGGGAGGCCAAGTCCAGAGGATTACTTAATCCCAAAAGCTCTAAACCAGCCTGGGCAATGTTTGAGACCTTGTCTCTATAAATAATTGTGGTGGTGCATGCCTATGGTTTCAGCTATTTGGAGGCAGAGGTGGGAGAATCACTTAAGCCAGGGTGGTCAAGGCTACAACAAGCCAAGCCATGGGTACACCACTCCACTTCAGCATGGGAGACAGAGCAGGAACTCCTCTCAAAAACAAAACAAAAACCCAATAAACTCTTAGGATTCAATAATACAACCCAATTTTAAAATGAGCAATGAGTAAAAGATCTGGATACTTATTTCTCCAAAGCAGATGTGCAGATGGCCTATAAACTCAAAAAAAAGATGCTCAATGTCATTACCCATTAGGGAAGTGAAAATCCAAAACATGAAATACCACTTCATACTCACTACAATAGCTATTATCAAAGAGACAAATAATTATGTGTTGGAGAGGATGTAGGGCAGTTGTATTACTCATATACTGCTAGTGGACATGTAAATGGTGAAGCTGCTTTAGAAAATAATCTGGTAATTAATTAAATGTTAAACATGGAGTTACCATATGGTCTAGCAATTACACTCCTAGGTATACACCTAAGAGAAAAGTAGATGTCCACACAGAAATTTATACACAAATGCTACATTATTCATAATAGCCAAAAAGAATAAATAATTCAAACATCCATCAACTGTTTGCTAAAATAACTGTGGTATATGCATACAATGGTATATAGTGAAATAAAAAGTAATAAAATAACACATGCTATGCCATGGATGACTTTGAAAACATTATTCTAAGTGAAACAACCAGTTACAAAGGCTCACAAATTATATGATTCCATTTATATGACCTGTACAGAATAGGCAGATTAATCTCTAGACAAAAAGATTAATGGTTGCTGAGGGATGGGGGGTTGTGGGATGACAGCATTGGGAGATGACAGCTGATGCAGAGTTTCTTTTTAGGGTAATAAATAATTGTGATAGATGCACAATTCTGTGAATGTACTAAGGAATTATATTAAGGTGAATTGTATGTTATGTAAATTATATCTTAATAAAGCTGTTAAAATATGAAAAAATTAAATCTCCAAAGGTGTCAGTCACAAAATGATCAAGGTCAGAAAATCAAAAAAAGATACCAGAGGATATTCCTATAATGGGAGAAATTGCACTTATTAATTACTTGATTATTGCCTGAGTTTTTTGTTGTCTGGGACCCCAAGAATTGGGCCCCTTTGAGAGAAACTCATAGTCAAGTAGATGAGAGAGGCTTGCTTACTAATTTGCTAACTCACAGTGCAGTCAGAAGTGCTTTGGAAACTCAGGTCCTGGGGGTTGTTGAAGACATGGCAGAGAACCCTGCTTGCGATTGAGATTGAGGCATGGAAAGTGGATTACCACACAGCCATACAACTCATACACTTCTATGTGTATGTGTTGGCCATTA